TTATGTCCTGTGCATTTTTCTTAGCTCAAAATAGGCTACCCACAGTAGAAATCCTATACGTAGGAAAAGATTTTGATTAACCCTTGTTTCCCAGTCTTAAATAAATAGGACTCTCTAGACTGACCTTCTAATATTTTTTTAAAAATCATTACAATTATATCTAATATTTCAGACAGATTTAGTCCTACTGATTAGGACCAAGCAAAGCCTTGAAAAGGGATGCTCAGCAATAGGTGGGAGCATGGACAAAGCATCTCTCTTTGAATAACTGAAAGTCACATTTTGGTTCATGCAGCTGCTTCAGGTACTATGGATAGTCCTCATCTTACAGTCTTTCATTTAGTGACTGTTCAAAGTTATGATGGTGCTGAAAAAAATGACCCATGGCCAGTCTCGCATTTATGACCAAGGCAGCATCCTTCTGAACCCTTGACCATGATTTGGGCTCTTGGCAACTAACAATGATGGTTGCAGTGTCCCGGGGTCATGTGATTGCTATTTGCTTAATGACTGCATATTTTTTTAACAACTGTGATGGTTCACTTAATGTCCACAACAAAAAGGCTGTAAAATCAGGAATGGTCACTTGATGACTCGCTTAATGACTGCCTCACTTGGTGATAGAAGATCTGATCCCAAATGTGGTTGTAATCAGATGAATATACTGTATATAGTCCTAGCTGTTTTAACTTGTTTCTCCATGTACACTCAGCTTACTTTCAGTCCTTGTATGTACACACTACTATTGTCTCTGATAAAGGGGGTTTGCAGATACCTGCAAAACACAGAATGGAAATGAAAATTAGGTTAGGTTCATATGCAAAATCCAAGTAGCTCTGCTTTCACCTTTCTAGTTTTAGGAACCCTTCACTTTAGACCTTATAAACCCCTACAGGTCCCTAGTACTTGTAAATGTAATTTAAATTTAAACTCTTTTGTCCAAACTTGTTTGGGTTGCTTTTTGGAATGATTAATTCAGTCCAGCTGTCACCAAGAATTACTTTTCTTGGAAATTAGTTTTCAAACAAGGTTAAGTTTTATTGCATAATATTGTTGTCCTCTGTTTGGACACTTTCCTCTAAATCAGCTTTTAAATGTTTACTGCTTTTCCTAAATAACCTAGGTAAATAGCAAATTGATATGCACAAAGTGGGCAGCTATAGACTTAGCTGTAAAGGAAAAAAGAAGCTTTACAAAAGGAATATTTTTTTTAGATAAAATGGACCTTCTAAAGAGATGTAGATAATACAAGGGCAAAGAGGGAGAGAGGGAAAAAAACTTGCATGAGACATCATTTTATACCTGTTTTGTGTGTCAATACAGAATAGGTAGCAACCACATTAATATCTTTTTTCCAATACTTTTGTGTCGCATTTTCACAAGCAATTGATGGAAAGCTTCTTTAGCAATTTAATGTCAAGATTTCTAGATAATCATTTCAGTTTTGCTTTGTTTTGGGTTTTTTTTTTAACCATTTCATAAATTTGTGTTGTAACTTACAATCTTTCCTAACTTACAATCCAGATGTAGATCAATGCTGCCACCTATGGAAACTATGTGAGAAAATCCTACACAAAAAAAGTAAAAAAATACAAAATATCAGAATAAAAAAAATATAGGAACAGGAGAGTTTAATATCTGGACAGGTGTTGTTTTTTTAATGAAAATAAAAAGTCACTTAGAAGCAGTAGATAGAATAAACTGTACTCCTGTTTTGAGTCAGTGTTGACTACTGATAACTACTTAAATTCATCCCAGCAGTTTTCAACATTTTCAGAAGTGGTTTGCACTTGCCTCCTTCCTAGAGTTGAGGGGGAGTGACTGGCCAAGGTCAGCCACCTGACCTAAAGTACCTAAAGTAGAATTCATACTCCTGGTTTCTAGCCACTACCTTAATACTACACCAAATTATCTCTTAATATTCTTAAAGGATATAATTGAAAGAGAAATATAAAAATAAACTGATAACTTAATAATCTATTAAATAAAAGTATAAACAAATGCATGTTTTATATTGCAATTCCCTCCCTCCCACCCATATCTACAGTACAATGCTGAGCCACGAACTTTTCAACTATCAGGAATAGAATAGAATAGAATAGAATAGAATGGAATGGAGTGGAGTGGAGTGGAGTGGAGTGGAGTGGAGTGGGGTGGGGTGGGGTGGGGTGGGGTGGAGTGAGGTAGGGTAGAGTAGAGTAGAGTAGAGTAGAGTAGAATAGAATAGAATAGAATAGAATAGAATAGAATAGAATAGAATAGAATAGAATAGAATAGAATAGAATTACAGAATTGGAAGGGATCTTGTAGGTCATCTAGTCCAACCTTCTGCCCAAGCAGGAGTCCCTACATCATTTCTGATAGATGGCAGTCCAGTCTCTTCTTGAAAGCCTCAGTGATGAAGCACCAACATTGAAGGCAGTCTGTTCCATTGGTCAATTGTTCTGTCAGGAAATTTCTCCTTATTTCCAGGTTAAATCTCTCCTTGATCAGTTTCCATCTGTTCTAGATAGTATAAACCAGGGGTGTCCAATCCTGCTGACTTTTAAGATTTGTGAAGCATTGAAGACCTGGCTTTGCCTTCTCCAAGCACTTGGCTAGGAATAGGACAAGGTGATTGCGCCTCGGACGAGGTGATTGGGCATCGGAATCTTGTCTTGGCACCAAGTTTTTGTTTCTAATACCTTTGGTTTTTTATAATTTTAATAATTTTTAAATAAGTGAACTTACATAAAACTAGATACTGTATATCCAGGGTCATAATAACATTTTTGCTATTTAATTCAGATCTTTCTCAGAGATAGTCCTGCATTTATTATTTTTATAAATAATTCAAGGTAGTGAACATGGCTAATACATCTTTTTCCACAACCCTCTGAGGCAGGCTGGGCTGAGACAAAGCCCAAAGTCAACCTGGAGAAATAGGGAATACAGTCCAGTAATATAGCAGCCCCTGGTTTGTTAGTAAGGCCTTCCGCCTATCATGCCATGCCAATCAATTGAGAGAAGATACTCTTAGGATGGAGTAGAAAGACCATCTAAGGAGCTACTGGATGCTGGCTGTTTAGGTTTTCATCTTTTCACTTTATTGATCAAGTATTTTCACTCTTCAAAGAAAGAAAGCAAAAACAGCAAAAGTTTATTGTTGGTTATCATTATTGTCCTTTCTGGCATGTTCACATGACCTTTCCTATTAATTAGATTTACACAGATGGTGGGAGACTAGAACTTGGTTAACAGGAAATATCAGTTACCAGCGAAGGATTTAAGTTCAATTTCTCTGCAACTCACATACCTTTTATTTGTCACTGAATAGCAAATCAGACACAACTTTGCCAATACATGAAGCCAGCAAATGACAAAGTCAGAGACCCAACAGATCACAATGCATTGGTAAAAATGTTATCATGAGGAACAAAGGCATATTTTTTTTTTAAAAAGTGTATTCTTTCTCATACTTTATAAATTCTCTGGAGAATTATTGTTTTATATTTCTAAAAATTGTAGAGCTCTGTTGACTTCTGTTTTATGAAGAACAAAAAACCAACCATGGTAACATTCCTGTACGGTCATGTATTCAACTGTGGCACACCCTCATGTGAGATCCACTTCTAGCAGGTAAATCATTCCCTGGGATATACACATGCTGTATGTATGTTTATAAATTCTCTTAATCTCTTCAATTTTGGGTAGCCATATTTTAAGTTATGTATCATTTCAGTCAGCTTAATCTGTCGAGAATGAGTAACAACATATGGAAAGCAATACATTATAAGCATCAAGATTAGAATTTATAGTTCAAAGGCATTAATGTTAATATTTATCTATCTATTGCACTTCAATACCCTCCTTCTTAATAAACATTATTTAGATGAATCACAGTAAATAAATTTCCTGGCTTATATAATATTGATCATGGATCTTTCTATGACAAGGAGCATGTTTTGTTTTCTAGCCAAAGAGCCACACTTAAAACTTTGAACAACACTTCAAAGTGTACTATAGGAAAATAAACGGCCAGAACTTATTAGAGTTAAAGTATGTTAATATTTGATTGTATTATGTTTGGGTATTTTTATTTAGATTTGGGATGACATGTGCATAACCCTGTATTTGGTTCTGGGAAGTCCAGGGGGAGGGGAGGGGAGGGGAGGAGGGGATTAAAGATGTAAATTTAAATTTTGGTATATTAGAATGCTATAGTGAAATAATGTATTTGAAGAAGATGAGATGCCCGGCTGGCGCCCCCAGACTGCGTCCGAAGGATGAGGAAAAGGAGGTGGGATGTGTAGGGTAGTTGAGAGGAGGAAGGAGGAGAGAGGTGTAGGTAGAAGGAGAAGAGAGGAGGAGGGAAGTAGGTAGGAAGGGTGAAAGAGAGGGTGGACGCAGGTGGGGGAGCTGCTGAGCATCTCTGAATAGATATATAATATGGGGTTTTTTATTAATGTATACCATATTTGTAATTTGTCTGTTTATTTGAAAATTAATAAAAAATTTGAATAAACGGTCAAAAGAAAAACTGTACATTAGGAAGAATAAATGGCCAAAATGTATATTTATTTCAGTATAAAATTAACTTACATTAAATATAGCCAATGAAATTAGTGCCTATGTACTTAGTGATTTTTCATTTCCAATAAACCAAAACTTACAAGTTGGGGACAGGTTTGAAGAGTGTTCTGGGACCCAAAGGCTGGACTATATGTACCCCACATATTTGTTGACAAATCCACATAGTTTAGACTTTGCAATCTGGCATCCACAAAGTATGTTGATGTTACAGGTAGTAATTGCCTCATTTAACAACCATTAACAGTTATGACAGTAATGAAAAAGTAACTTTACAACCAATCCATGCATTTATAACTTTCATAGGTCTATGCAACATAGGAAAGCTGAAATAAGATCGTAATCGCATAATTTCACTTAGTGATCTCTTCACTTAACAACCAAGTTAAATGGCCACTAAATGAGGATTATATTGTCCCAATTGTGGTCACTAAAAATGGACAATACAAATCCCAGAATTCTTAGCCACCCATGAAAAACTGAGTGAAATGACTATCCAGTGCACTTGGAGCATTTAAGCATTCTCAATATTCATTGACAGATCTAAATTGCTAAATGTGAATACCCGATCGTGATTAGATATTACATCTTACATTGTCTTATGTCTATTAAACAAACATCAATGGGGTAATTATTTTTTTTAAAAAAAATGAAACTCGTTAGGATTAAAAGATGATAGATAACTCCTCAGGATTACCTTTGATGTACAGAAAAAAGAAAGACACGGCTTCTTGCAATTCTTCACTTTCCTGACATTTTTATTACTGATCTTGGGAAGTATCACCCAATAAAGAAAGCTATATCAAATCATTCACATTATGTTCAATAAATATATTCCTGGAGATAGCAGGTTGCTGAACTAGAATAAACAAATAGATGCCTGCTTAATGTTAATAGTGCCTATTACACCACCACCACATCATATCCTATGACAGAAAAGTACAATTGAGGATGTTCTGAACCAATGAAGAAATACTTTTCTTATTTTTTTTTAAATAAATGTCTTTATTAAGAAAATTGGTGCTGGCTCCATCATGAGCGATCTGAAGAAAATAATAATCCAGTGGACCATACCAAAGGCACAGTGGTGTTTATAACAAGAACTGCAGATTCAGTCCCTTCCAACAAAATCAGTAAGATCACAAAGCTTCCTGTCCTATTAATTTTGCTGCAGTAGCTCTCCTTTACTTGAGAGAAGCAGAAGGCTAACTCTGTCGCACAATACTCCTCAACGGTGCAACACATCTAAGTCTCAAGTAAATTCAGCGTCCTTTGATTCTGCCGCATCTGAATATTACAGTGTTGCAGAAAGTCTCTTTATAGATTCAGAACTTCAGCCATTTTTTGATTTTATAATCCATTCGGCATTTGGGTTCAGCTGATACAAGTCCTTCATGAAAGTGTCATCGTCTAGGCATCGTTCACCTGTCATGGAAACATATTATACAAACACTTAAAATACCAAATAAGGGTTTCAATGAATGATTTTCTTATGAGGAAATTTCACTGAGCAGGGTGGATCTTATTTCTGTCAAAGTCACAAATCAGGCAAGACACCAACATGGACTGTAACTTCAATTTCTCATGCTATAAGTGAAACATTTTTATGCAATTATTCCACTTTTAAGGGATGTTTAACTCTGGTTGATACTCCTGCCTGATTCTGAAATGGAAGCATTTAAGTAATTGTTTGGTCTCATCACTGTCACAGTACACAGAGAATCGCCATGACTACACTAGCCCCTAGCCACTTTTGCAAAACAATTGTGGCACGTGCAATATTCCTCAATATGTAGACTGGGAATCTCCCTTTCGCACTCTATGCCTGCTTTCTCCAGATGGTATAATGATCCCTGTTTACCCCATTGTCCAGGAGCTAAAACTATTTGCTCAGGAAAGCAAAATCCTAATCTATAAACATTTCTTCCCTGCTAAATAATACAGGAACCGAAAATAAAATTCTACAAAAGTCATTCTTTTACATACTGCAATGTTCATACAGGGTCCTTGCTGGGGATAGAGCCTTACAGATACATAAAGTCAACACTTGGCCTTATCCACCTCTGAACAAAGTCATGTGACAAACCACAACAGCTTGTTGTAGTTTCGTCTCCCACAGGCCCATTTTTCTGGAACCAGCTAATATCCTGGGCAAGGTTAAAGTTGTGCGATCATATACCTACAGTACTGTTATTTAAGTGTTTGTGTGTCCATCAAGAAAAAGGTTTTAGCATGGCTCTTGATAGGTTTAATTTCCATGGGGAGTTGACAGGAAAGCACACGATTTCCTGAATATTAGGGAAGGGGATCCTAACAGTAAAAACAATTTGTTAATGAAATTAATTGCCCAGAACAAGAATGGATGACCATTCCCCAAATAAATTGAAGTAGAAGTTAAATAGCAGCATGTCAGAAATGCTTTATTTTGAATTCTTGCACTGAGCAGGGTGCCACTTCTGCCTCAATGATTCTAAATAATCTGGTAAGGACAAATAAACCACCCGCTTTTGACCTTTGTAACTAAGCAGAGTTAACAGCCTTACCAATATTTCCTCCTACTTCATGTAAAAACAGCTCTTCTTTCTTCAAACCTTGTACATTTCCACTGGCAAAATAAAAGTTAAGAAAATGATCAGTCATTATCCCAAATAATTTCCAACTGAAAGCTACTAGTGTGCACCAGAAAATGGCCTGCTGGCTCAGAGTTTGCAAGTGCACTAAAATTATTTTTTCCCATCTGTTAACTTACTGCAATAACATATCACACTTGAATGATTATGGGAAAAGAAGCTGTTTGCTACCTTGAATTACAAGAGAGGAAAATCAGCTGGAAAAAAAAAATCCATATATTCACAAAGAAGTAATCATTCTGCCTTTTTTTGAAAAAAAAAATAAATACCCGGGATATTTTATTGCCACCTTTTGACTGGATAACATTATTTAACACAAATGCAATTAATTTGTATTTATGTTTATTTACATACTTCCAGCATTATAGTATATGTTCTGAAATTGTTTTGAGAAATTGAATGGGCAAGTCATCTTTTATACTTTCAATTCAGGCAGACCTCACTTAATGACTGCCTCGTTTAATGACCGTTGAAGTTAGGTGAAGTACCGCAGGGGTCGGTCCTCTCGCCTCTCCTGTTCAACATCTATATGAAGCCACTGGGTGAGATCATCCGTGGTTTCGGGGTGGAGTTTCATCAGTACGCAGATGACACCCAGTTGTATATCTCCACCCCGGACCACCCCAACGATGCCGCGGAAGTGATGTCCCGGTGCCTGGAGGCCGTGCGAGTCTGGATGGGGAGGAAC